TAGTGCTAATCTGATATTATAAGCATATGTCTTCCACTATTTAATAAATGTTAAAATAAGTGCAATTGCCCTGAATAAGTACAAGGAATAATTAATTGAATTTAATAAAATGACATTAATTTCATTCAATGAATGAGTGGAAACTTATAGGATTATTTCCTGGTCAGTAGGCGATTAATAGAAGGGGAATTGAGTGGTATTTGGATGATATTCTGATTTCATCTAGCAGTTCAGGAAATGCTAAGAATATTTCATGGTTTGCCCTTTCATTGGTCGGTAATGTCCAACAAAGGAAGGTGATGTTCTAAAAAGTTCACTCAAAAATACTACTTCATTGGATTTTTGGATTCGAATTGTGAAATATTCATTAAATGGACAAATTGAAATTCTAATTTTCGAATTCGTCATTTGATTTCCGATCTCACAGCCTTCCAGTTGCCTAGCCTATAGAGTTGTCAGACGAACTCTGAGTCATAGAGGAAGAGCAGACTACAAATCGCCAGTTGAAATTCCATGGCTTTGTCGATAGAACACAGATCGTTATCAAAATTGGTTAAATTGTTACCTTACAAAATGTAAAGAATTTTTTGCTGAATCTTTTAATTTTAACGCTCTCGAACTCATAACTCGAGGAACCGTAATTTTTTAAGAAAATTTCAATATATTATCGTTGGAATTCCCTTCAAAATTCCACATTTTATAGCTTTAAAAAGACCAACTGAGTTAAAATAATTGATTGTCATTTGAAAAATTCTTTCAGATAAGCAATTTCAGTTTTTGATCCTTTTTACCAATTTGTGTATTCATTTGACATATGAGAGGCAAATTTTAATAACAAAAAGTACAGTTTTTTCCCAACTGACTAAATTATTTAATGTGGTAGAATTGCAGAAAATGTTGAAATAATCTTCAGTTCTAGAAGTTCTTTATTGTATATTTTGAGTTAATGTAAATTTATTAAATAATTCTATTATTACTTATAAATTGCTTTTATTTTCCTATAACTGATTTCTTTTTGCATAATTGGGATAGAAAAAAACAATGATTCCATATATGAGTAGCATTTAAACTTCACTTCACAGATTCTCCATTTTTACGTATCTTAATTTGTTCCTATGTAATCTACTTCAACAAATTCCTTTTTCACATATCTCAAGTTCTTGTAACTCATCACGCATTCACTTATTCTTTCTTTAGGAAAAATGACCCACCATTCAAATGAATAATTTAGTCAATAGTAGGAAATATCTCGGATTTAAATTAACTCAAGAATGTGGGGGAATAAGTTAGGAATTCGATGTCTATAACACAAGAACATAGAAAAATCAATGAATTTAAGAAACACTCAACTATAGCCTATCTTTCAAATGAAGCACAATGTATTTCCAAAGATCATTTAGCTCCTCTAACCACTCCATTACCTGTTTATCTTAATCTTCTCTCTTACTGTTAGTAATTGTGCAAGGACCTCAGCTCCCTAGTCCAGTTAAGCAAATTTTCCCAATGTTGCGTACATGTGCGTTGAAGTGCCATCATGGAATTCCGGTCATCGTTTGTATTTAGTAGCTTTGGTTGAGTTCAAGTATTTCAAAGTACCATATGATATAGCATTGCATATTTTTGAAAAAACCTCAATGATGCAGCGAAGCTTTAAAGCAAAATTACTTTTAACTTTCAAAGCGTCGAATAAAAATTGAGACTCGGTGGTTGAAATACTAAATCAATTCTCAATTACGTAAATTAAACGGTTCTTGCCAGTTGATTATGGAATACCCAGTGCTAACACGGTTGAACAGAGCATTGTTATATGCGCTCGAACATTCTGGAATGTTCGACCGTGCTGGTGATCACGTTAGGGAGCAAATGAGGTCACAATAATCAATAGTCTTTTCAGGGCCAGAGTACCCAAAATCGTATTTAATGACTAAGCCATGTGTCATTGACATCATGATCATCACGACCTCGATGAACACATCCAGTGTTATTGTTGAGGCAAAATAATCAATTTCGGAACCATAGTGATCGTTGAGGTTCAGTCATGACTTTATAATGTAGCAAACCCCAAAAATATTGTATAGGAAACAAAATAAATGTCTTTTAAATGCCATCACCATTATTGGCCACAGTAAACAATTATACGACTATTAATTCTATTTATTTTGCTTATGAAACGACCAGTGTAAAGTATAAAATAATACTATGATTAGAAAGAGCTTCATTTTCAACTTCGACCACAGGCTTTCTTTATTTGAAATATTTTCTCTAGTTTTAATAATAATGCTGTTTGAGTGACAACTTATGACATGCACATCATCGTAAAACGTGTTTAAATAACTTGATTTATTCCAAAAATAGTGCCAAAACCAGTCGAATTGACTTAAGATCACCCAAATTGGCTTTCCAGTCTTTTATGAAAGCACGCATTTGCTTTTCTACCATAATCAATAATGAATTTCGTGATTTTTAACCAAATTTTTGGCTATTAGTTAGTTGGAAATTAATGTTTCTCTAAAAGCACTAAGTTAAGATTGAGAAAATGATTTACTTTACCTTAAAGTGGTAAATTATTAGCACCCTAATTCTTTAGTGCAGTGTATAATTTAAAAGAAGGCAAAATATGGGATATTTTAACAAAGATTCTCTTCCTTTTCGTGTTCATTTTCACCGAAGGAGAGCGAATGCTTTGACCAGAGGCTTCTAAAATACGTTTTTAGGGGAGGGAAATTCAAATGGTGAATAAACGGTGCTGAAACCCTATTTTTAAGTAACTTCAATTGCGATTCGTGTCTCTGTATTCACAATGGCATCACTAGAGCTAAGATATGAAAACAATCAAACAAGCATTGTTAAAGATGTTGGTACTTATGAACTAAAGTTTACATTCATTTGCATATTCTCAATATCAAAATTTCCGACTAACTTTAAACTCGTCTGGATGGAGTTGCTGGGGGTTGGAGTTGTTTGAGGGTGGGACAGAGGTAAGGGAGCAAACACCAAATGAATTAAGTTGACAAGATTTGATGATGGTATCATGCCAATTTGTAGAGTTACAGGACAATTCGTCAATATTTTTCATCGATTTCTTCTTAGTCTGTCATCTTCATCACCTTGACGCGCACTTTGCGTAGTCTTAAACCTCAAATATTTTACATACCATACTGAAAGTACCAACCTGACATTCAAGGTAGAAGTATTTCATTTCCTGTGCGTTACTTACTGTTGAAAATTTTTAAATTTTATCAGTATTTATGCTGGTCGTTTTTTCGTTTTATTCGTGGTCTAACTCGTAAAAATGTCTCAATCTAATTTTTAATTTTTCCAATTTGCACTAAAGTTTTCGAATCCCAACTGTTATTAAATGTTCTTATTTTAAATTGAATTTTCTCCAACGGCGATAGTTAAAAGAAGACAGCCAAACGCCTGTTAGTTAAAACTTTATCTTTCCTTAGTATTTTTAGGTTTAATTTAGTTTTGCCAAAATTGAATCTTTTTAAATTTTTTCCCAATTTATTTTCGATGCGCAGTTTTTGTTTAAGGAGCCTCCAAGGCTTATTTAAAGTATTTTGAATCGCATAATTCTTCTCAATTTTACCAACTAATTACTCTGATCTCCATATAAGTCAACAAACTGATACTTTGAAAATAATATTGTGGCAGAAAACGATTACTTTCCGAGGACATTGGGGCACAATAAGTACATTTACCCGTGGCACTGAAATTAAGTGCAAAATTTATTTTGCCCCAGATTTACGCACTTTTTCAATTATAAAACAAGCATTAGTAATTAAATTTTGAACTGAGAAAATATTAATTGCTTCGTGCTAATTTGCGTTTTAATTTTGGACACTGAGATGTGAAATAATCGAGACAAAGAGAGAGAAATTTCTAATTTTTTGGAGAGCATTTTAAAGAGAGAGTCAATACGTTAACTGTGAAAGTTGTGGTGACTCTATTCCATATCTGAATTTATCCTATTGTCTGTCGATTTTTCATTGGTATATATATATATATATATATATATATATATATATTGGGATGTGCAATAAACTTACCTCCACGTGGTGCACCCTGG